CCATCTCCACCTGCTTCTGCATGGCCATCATTCTGAACAATGTCTGCATAGGTGCACATTAAAAACGGTTAAGCCAATAATCAGGTCGGGCGAAGGCAAGACCAAATAATATGAGAGAATTCATGAGTTGGAAAATAAAAGTCACCTCCATAGCAGATTGGGGAAAGCGGCTGAACACATCCTTCTGGGAAAGGCCCTTTGCCGCCTCAAGGTCATTCGGAGTCCACATGCTCCTGTAATAGGCCATAGCGGTCTGGCCATCCTTCAGCATGGTCTCGTTCGGTTTCACGAACGTCCCATCCGTTCGGGTGTACCGAGGGGCCCATGGCGGTAAGGTGGGGATAGAAGGGGGGCCTGAAGCAGAAGCGGAGCCACCAGCTGCAGCAGGCCCAGAGGGAGCAGGAGCTCTGATCGCTCGGTGCAAAAGAGCACCCGGCCCGGAGACCCGGGTCCTTCTAATGAGAGGCTCCTCCTCAGGATCGACTTCACTGTCAGGATGAGGCCTTTTGCCTCGTTCTTTGTCCCGACCGCCCCCCGCAGCAGCAGGAGCTATGGTAGCTTGGGGGGACGCGCTCTGGTTGGCAGCAGGGGCGCTGGCAACAGGGTTAATAGCCACTGTGCTCGGGACAGTGTCAGAGATGGTGGCTGAGGAAGAAGCTGACGCTGGAGAGGAGGTCGCCCCAGCAGCAGGAGTGGCTGGGGGAGTATTTTTCTTCCTGCCAAAAGAAGGAATCTGAAGTCTGCTCATGTTGTAGCCGAGTGATGAGAGCGCTAAGAGGTTGTCTGAAGTGAGGAGATCTGAGCAGGAAGGAATATCGTTCAGAACGTATTTCTTTAAGTAGTTACTCCTATCCCTGCAAACACTATAGCTCAAGTCATCACAAGGTATTCCTAAGGAACGGCATAAGAAAGTGCAAAAACGAGGAACGCATGTTTCGCAGGGGCAGTCATGTTTATGAGATTTGAATTTCTTATAGGAGGAGACAGAACAGACACCAAAGGCGCTCGGGATTGGGTAATCCTCTGCAGCCGGCGAAGACCAAGCCCCACTAATGCCCACGACACTATCCCTCCAACCCTTCTCAGATTTTATTGTGTCCGTGCATATGGACATCTTCTCGAACGGGTAGAGGTGGTAGAAGGGTTCGTTAGTACGGATCTTACTGACCTTATAGCACAGAAGGAGGTCTATGAGGTCAAGGTCCAGATTTCTGTCACGCATCAACAAGAGCATAACAGATATGATTCTAAAGAAGTTGGGGTTGACCTGCAGAGGGGATATCCCCAATCTATTGAAGACATAACTAAAGAAAGGGTGCAGAGGGAACCTAACAACATTCAATTGAAGGTTCGTGAATAAGACTTCGCCGGGCAGGAGGCCGGCGCCGGTCATAATGTTAACGTCCTGGGGTCAAACCCTAACTTCGATGTTGTCAGGAAGTTTAAGTCTCATACGAAGAACATCCAGATCTACAACCATGGTGGAAGTGCTTGAAGAATCTAAAAGGGGGTAAATGGAAGCCTGCCGAAAGTAAAAAAGAACGAAACTAACCTCGGAGGACTGCAAGATCGCTGGAAGAATGACTCTTGAAGGATTTCACCAGAAAAAGCTTAGCACTGTTCTAGAAAGAGAGAGATTTGACTGATGATGGAGACGGTAAAAGGACGTGAAGTGGAATTCTAGAGCATTATAAAGGCGAGGGGGCCCGAGGGCCGAAGCGTCGGGAAGGCGAGAAATTCCTCGAGCCCCGGAACATTGATTCTAGATCTGACCTTCCGTTCCCCCACGTGGTTATCTCGAGCCATCAACATCATGATTAGACGCCATCAATAATTACCCCTTATTAAATAAGGGGCAATTATGGGGGCAGTTGAGGAGGCCCCGGATGACATGGGCCGGATCCGACTTGCAAACACTACATTCAGTCCGTACAGCTGGGTCGGCCCATATAAAGACACTGCCATATGGGCCGAACGCGAGTAAGCCCATCAAAGGTGACCAGGACTTATGGAGGAATAGGCCCAGATCCAGCAATCAGTAAATATCTTGTAAATATCTTGTAAATATCTATAAATAGGATAAGGAATGGAAAGGTGGGGGATCTTTTTGGGGTTGAGGTGTAAGAATTCTAGAGAGAGAAAGAGGGGAAGGAATTTCTTGCATCTTCAAGTACAGACTTGAATTTTCATGATGCTCCTTAATGTAGAAGCTTTGCGAGTCCATGCTTTAATGTTTGAAATATCATGTCCAACACGTTTGCCACTCTTTTTTTTTTTCCTTTTTTTTGTGGGGGGTGGGGTGTTCTTGCATGCCCATAAAAGCATGAAACATTATATTCCATATTGAGTAATGCTCTCTTGAGGTTTATCTCGTGATCGGGATCATGTAAAAATATTAAAGTAACATTTGAAAGAGGACTGTATGAGGATTATATAGTCTTTTGTACCAAAATTTATTTACACACACTTTCTTTTGATCAAATTACGCTCTTAACTTTGACTGTACTGTGTCTAATTGTTTAAAAGAAAATCACACTATGATCAAATTAAACCCTCAACTTTGATCGTCTCGCATAATTTTAATTTATGATAGTTTGAACTAATTTTTTATAATGAGTTCGTGACAATATAATTTGTTATTTTAAAAAATAAAAAATAAAAACTCTTAAGTTGACATCATAGAAGCATTATTCTTATCTATACTGGTTTGCTTGTGGATAAACCAATGTGGTAGAGGAATTTGAATATGCTCAATTGTGATAATTTCCAAAAGTGATAAGATTCCAGGTTACTAAATTATCTAGAAACCAACAAATCATCTAAGTCACTAAAAGAAATTAAATTTTTTTTCCCATATCAGATATCCTTCACGTGGAGTAAAACCTTTTAAGATGATATGTAATTATTACATTATCTCTTAAAAAATTACAAAGCTATCCTTGCAAATTTAACTATAAATATAATCAAGTTTGAAATTTTTTAAAATTTTAATGATCTTTTATGGAACGATGTGAAATATGTTTAAATTTGCTAAGTAAACAAGTATTTTAGAACAATCCAAAAAGAAAAGATGGACAATTATTGGACGGAGGGAGCATTAAAAAGCAATGCTACTACAAAATTGGTAAATACTTTTAGGCGGATTCTATATAATTTCATTTCATGAAACTATTATAGTTACTTTGATTTTGAACTAATAAGTTGGCTAATTTTTTATTTTAAAAATAATTTATAATTGAAAATAATCAATTTCATTGAGTCACACAAGCTAAGTCATATAAAGCGAGAATGTTTGTCTATTTACCCAAAAGCTTAGGTAGTGCTGCATCTTCCATTCGGATCCGATGTGTGACAAATCTCCCCTTGTGACATTCATCCTCACCCGAATTCACAATGCCCTCGTTGCAGTCGAGCCACTCTGCCTACCTGGGTCGTACATTGGGACACCTTTCGGATTGGGCGTTTGCCGTGACACTGAATCAAGAATTGGGTCTGACTCTGTAATGGGTGAACGCTTTTTCATTTACCAAAAAACTTAAACTATTGAATAGTATTACATACCCATTTATTTATACATCAATCAATCTCGCATGATGTGAGACAAATCTTATAACATTAGGCAAGTGCACAACATTTCTATTCCTTCTAAAATAAAAGATGGAGTCTCAATTCTCAACTAGCATTATGAGAGTTATTTTGTTTCTTTTTATATTCTTACCAACTTCAGGGGAAATGGAGGAGATTGAAGAAATAAGACCATGTAAGTTTCGCATAAACTCCCATATATTAGTCGCATTATTTAGTGGGCCTAAACTTTTGACTTTAATTAGATTGAGCAATGGATGATGAGACGAACCACAATACCAGATGGCGAGAGTCTCTCACCGAATTAATTTTTTTAAATTTTCTTTTCTTGAAATGTATTTATATTTGGTAACAGTACATAAATTCCTCTCCGAATTAATTTTTAATTTTTTTTCTGAAATGTATTTAAATTTGGTAACACAAATTCCTTCCAACGTGATGTGACCTTTGCTATAATATAAAATTTTAATGTATACAATCATGCTCAAATTACGTGTGTGTATTTTGTCATGTGAGAGTCCCCTAAACTTATTACTTCTTGGCCTGGTGAATGTAACTACCAGATGCCACGGCCTTTCAACACTGGACCTTAAAAGTGAAATAGGAAATGACCAAAAAGAACAATTAAAAGTAAAAATCCTGAGAGTCGGTTTGGTGCAATGAAAAAGGGTGGAAAGGGAAGAGAATGTGATGAAGGGGGATTAAAAATTTGTGTTTGGCAAAAATTGTTGGAAGGAAATGGAAGGGTTTGGAAGGTTATGTCAAAGCTTCAACAGTGTTTTTCTTATCCTCCAAAAAATGTGAGGAAATGAAAAGAAAGTGAAGGCAATGGCTAATGAAGGAGTTGTGATGAGTACACAAGTTTGCAAAACAATATATATACAAGTTAGCAGTTGCAGAAAGACAGCGGGCCAGTGATTGAAGCTTACGAACGGCGAACCCGAACTGGAACAACGGCCATGGAAACTGAAAGATATGGGTTTTGATTTTCTGAACAATCTGAAATGACATACGGATACGAGTTTTGAACTTTGATTCTTGGAAACAAATAAATAAACTGAAATATATGGGTTTTGAACTTCTTATTCTTGTAGTGTAGAGAGAGATAGGGGGCAAGTTTAGAGTTGAGAAAGAGAATAGAGATGGAGGCGGGATTCGGGAGGCTGAAATGATTTGTCCTAATTTTTTTTTTCTTTTCTTGTGAGTATAAGAGATCATATATATATATTTAAATATTATATATATATATTTAAATATAAAAGAGTATAATAATCAATTTACTAAAATAATTTCTTTTTTTTTTTTTTTTTAAACATAATTATTATTCTTAAATTTCTTTTCCTTTCGTTAATTAACCAAACATGTTATAATTATCCTTCACTTTTCCTCCCCTCCCCTCCCCTCCTCCTAATTAATGTTATCCTTCCCTTCAAACTCACCGTATGAACCATAGCCTTAACTTCTCCACCCGAAGATCACACAAGCAAAACCTTCTCTCCTCTCTATACGCGCAAACATATATCCATCTTAAAAAGCAATCTTCTAAATCACACAGCTAATCCCATGGCGAAGCAAAGCAATGGTAACAAGAAGAAGAAGAACGTTCCAAACGCCATGTTCGTGAAATCCAAAGCCCAAAAAGAAACCCTTTCGAAACCATTTGGTTCCCAAGAAAATCCTATTTTCTGGGCAAAAAGCGCAAGGGCGAAGAAAAGTGTATCGGCCAATATAGCTCTCTCGCATTCCAAAAGGTGAAAAATCTCCCCATTTTTGTTTTCCAATTTGATATATATATATGGAATTTGACCTGCTTTTATTGACATGAATTACAGAGGAAGAGGACGCTATTGAACGAGAATGAACAAAGGGGGAAATCATATCGGGTATGTTAATACAAAAATTGATTTTTTGTGAAAATTAATTTCTATTATATTCTATTTGGTTGATAATTAGGTATTGGAAATTAAGATGAGAAGATGAGAGTTCAGCTCTATGAACAATGGAACCAATTTGAGTAAATTGAGTAACAAATATAAGTAATAATAAATGGGTTATAAGGGTAGGTTGAATTTTGATACAATTGAACTCTCACTGTAGTTTAGGGTTAAGTCCTTCTTCACTGTTGTTTCAGCTCCGGCGATATTTGTGCATGATTCAATCAGTTCTAAAAGTAATTTGAATGAGGATTTTGCACAATTTTTTTTTTTTTTTAAATAAGGCTATGTTGACCTATTATACTTTTTAATGATGTGTACCATGAATTTTTTTTATAATAAGAGTATCATTTTCCATCATGTAGTCAATGCAAAATATCTTCCATCTTTTAGATTGGAGGAGAGATTGTCTGTGTTTTTGTTGTTATTATAATGCATACAGTTCAAAGTTAATCTTTGTTTCCAATTTAAACAGATGGAAGAGTGAAAATGGGAAGATTTAAACTTGGATTGCTTGTTGAATGTGTTTGAGAGATTGGGACTTGGATCTCTTGTATTGGACATTCCCTTTGTGTGCAAGTCATGGTACAAAGCAAATCTCAATCCACAATGTAGGTCGCCACATTGGATTGCTTGTTGAATGTGTTTTATACAATTGTCAGAAAAAAAAAAGAAAAAAATAGTTTTTTTTTATTTTTTTATTAAAATGGTTTTAGGCAGATTTTTTTAATTTTTATTTTATAGACAGAGAAGTGTCTTTTTTTTTTTTTTACAGGAAACTTATTTGTTATTACAAAGATGTTTCCATTTACATTAAAACTATTTCAAGTAGGAAGCAAGATTGTGTTGTGTACCGGCTAACCTAGCTATACAATTACTTTCTCATTAAGGATTTGTAACAGGCAAAAATAAATAGCCTAGAAAACATAACAAATTTTGTAAATTTAAAAATCAAAATTGATGGGCCTTAAAAGTCCCATTAAATTTTGTACCTTAAAAGTCCCATTAAATTTTGTAACCGACCAACTGTTAGGATTTTTAATTTTGAACCAATGTATTTCTCTAACATAAATAACACCCTTCAATTACTTTCTCATTAAAGATTCGTAACAGTTAAAATTAAATTAATTAATTAATTAATAGATTAGAAAACATAGCAAATTTTGTAAATTTAAAAATCAAAATTGATGGGCCTTAAAAGTCTTATTAAATTTTGTAACGAACCAACTGTTACAATATTTATAATTGGATCAAAGAAGTTTTAAAATCTTCTCTAACAGAAAAAACTTATGTCGTATTTAGAACACTCGCCCCCCCTTTTAGTTCAAACCGAATTTCATTCAAAGTGCTGATTTTGTAACAGAATAAATTTTACAAATTTTAAAAACAAAATCGATGGCCCTTTAAAGACCCATTAAATCTTGTAACTGACCAACGGTTACGATTTTTAAACCTTAGGTCAAAAAAGTTCTAAAAACTTCTCTAACACACCTAACTTATATATATTGCATTTGAAACACTCAGCTCTTTCGATTTGGAGTGGTAGAAAATCTAGTTCAAACTCTGAAATAAATTTCATTAAAAGTACTTATGTGTGTTCCCAAATACCCTTGATAATAGAAACTTGCCTTCACCAAAACTGATCAGCTTCATGGTTCTAACTCGTCCATTCCCTCGGATGATCTCAACACTCTGAATAGCTTGTGGCAAGATCGCGGTGATTAAATTGTAGGCATCACCAACAAAAGCCTTGAACATCCTGGCCGGAGGGATTGAGGAGGTAATCTCCATGTGACGTATTATCACATCCATGATAGATATATCTGTCTTGAGAGATTGGAAAAGTGCAAGGTAAGAGAATTAGTTTGTGAGGAAAATGTGCAAACTCAAAGTGGTATTTATAGAGTTAGCCTAAGATATGAGAAATAGAAGATAACAAATGTAATTCAATACGCACTTCATCTAGCGGATATGTATTCTTAACAACACCTCACACAATTATAGACCATATTAAGCCCTTAGTCACATAATTCGTCCAAAGAGGTCCCGCTCTCAAGCTCTAATCGCGAATTCACACAAAATCCGCGAATTCAATTTTTGCAATTCGCAAATTTGTTTTCCTAATTCGCAATTTTCACATGAATTCACTTTATACAACTAAATTTGTTAAGAGTCTCAGTGATATGGAACATCTATATTACCATATATGCATTTATTACTTACACTATTACTCAATATATACATTAATTACTTAAACTCCACGTGTGCTCCAGCTATATGGGATTCCTATACTACCATATATATATATTAATTATACATGTTTGAAAATATACCACTAAAAATAAATCACCCATCTATTAGCGAGAAAAGTTAGCTTATTTATTGCATATATCATTAATCATAAATGATCTCTTGCTCACCGGTGAGCAATAAATTCATCCGTGTGCATGATGATTGTTGGATCTGATTGCTATCTTATTTTGGTAACTACCTTTTTAACATTTAATGGTTACCGTGTATGGTACGGATGAATTTCTTACTCACCGGTGAAATGTCATGACCTAATATAATTTTATTTAAACCTAATATACAGACGCTCCTGTTTTCAAAAATTTTAGACTTTGACATTTTTCGCACTCGCTCCCACTCTGTGTGACTTGGATCCAGCCTGTTGCATGTTTGGAATCAAATTGTGATTATCTTGACTCCAATATTTTTATATTGCCATTTATGTTGTGGCCTATTTAGCAGCTATGTCAATTAACCTTTACTGTAGATTGAGAAGCAGATAGATAAAAAGATAATGAAGCACCCTGCTAAACATTTACCATGTGCTCCCATAGAAATCTGCATATCTGTCTGAATCAAGTTTGTCATGATACTTAATTGTGATTAGGTATACTTGCTAATCTAGAAACCTCTCAATCTATAATGAAGGTTAATTGGCATAGTTGTTAAATATGACACTACATAAATCGCAAGATAAAATATGGCAATGATTTGATTACAAAAGTGCAAAACGGTAGATATGGTGTGTAATTGTGTGAGATGCTGGTGAAATACACATCAAACACATTTGCTCTCTATAAATATCACTTTCTCACATTTTCCTCACAAGCAATTCTCCTTCTTCCTTGCACCTTTGCAATCTCTTAAACATATATCTATCATGAGTGTGATCAGGTGTCACACAAAGATTACCTCCTTAATGCCACCGTCCTGCAGGATATTCAAGGCATCTGTTGGTGATGCCGACAACCTCATCTCCACGATCTTGCCTAAAGGAACAAGCTCAATTGTCAACGAAGTTTGGCAACACCATGCCAGATTGGGGTCATGTTAAAGGTCAGAGGTACCCTTGAATATGTGGGGGTTGGAATGCTGTGAAGCAAAGAGAACTGCTGTTGATTGGGTAGGTTGAGTGAGTGTTCCACGTTGCAAAAACGATAATGTAGGTGTACATATGCATGTTGCTTAAACATTCGGGAAAAAAAAAAAAGAAAAAAGAAGAAGAAGCAATCATCTAATCTTTTCGTCTTAGGAACATATCTATCACTACTTGGGCCATGGCCTGACAAGTGAGGGCTCCTATGTATCTATAACAATCGTGTACATTTATGTGCAATATTAATTATTCAATTGCTTAAAATCTGGTAGAGTGATCAAAATTGGAGGATTGCACTAGTGTCCTCATCTACGTCCATAGATAGGTTTCGAAACTCAATTGCAAGAGTAACTTTAAGTAATTTTGTATTGCTTTTAATTTGTCATGATTCTGTGTGTAATTAAGTGCTTTACATCCCTGTTGATATATAGATTGTGCGAGTTTTCACTTTAGTATGTATGAGTTCTGTTTTTGTTATTATTATGATGCATATTGTTTAAAGTTTATTGTCCTTGTTTTCTATGTATGTAGATGGAAGAGCGAAAATGGGAAGAGTTGAACTTGGGTTGCTTGTTGAATGTGTTTGAGAGAGCGGGAGTTGATGCTCTGGTATATTAATCGCACATTCCCTTTGTCTGCAGTCATGGAGATTCTAGTGATGATTTTGCAAGGCTGCAAAAAAACTTCGGTGTTTTGATGTTAAGCATTGTGTAGGTTTCGAAGATGGTGATGAAATATTGAAGCTGCCTTTCATATTCGATTATTCCACCATGAGGGTTCAAGAGCATTTCTATGGTGGTACCTTTACTAAATTAAGATTAGCTGGTATTATGAAGTGAGAATTGCTATGTAGTGATATCCTACCATTTGAAACGGTGATGATGAAATATTTGTGTCATTGAATTTTATCTAATACATGGTATATTGTAAACATACCCTCTGTTTTAGCTCGATCTTAACCGCCTGGTTTTGTAATATGATTTAGTAACAGGTCTTTTATTTATTTTTTTCTTTCTTTTTCATATCATCTTGCTCCACCGAGGCCATAACTTTAGAAAAAACGGAATGAAAATATAAGATTTACGGAGCCGATCACAAATAATTGAGAAAAAAACTGTGGTGGTTGTTGAATGTTGTATATTTTTGTATCATCTTACTGCATATCTTCCATTTTTCAAGATAATCCATTATATGACAATGTTGGTATCAAAATAATTGTGGTATCCTTATACATTGAATAGTCAGGACTCACACTCGCAGACTTGGATTTGAAAGCAACCAACTTACCTCTAACCAACCGTGCAAATTGCAAAAGGTTGTTCGTACTTGCATAAATAAAAGTGGTACATGAAAATACTAATATTATGTTTGTTAGCACCGAATCGGTATATTAGATTTAGGATTGGAAGAATTTTTGTACCAAGTTTTCTCTAATTTTATATCCAAAGACACCAATTTGGTACTTCCAAACATAACATAAGGGTAGTTTGCGCAAACAATAGTGTTTTCTCCGATTTCACTGCCTAACCAAGTGGCTCATCTGGATGCCTTTAGGACCGGGCGCTTGGCGTGGCACCGGATCAATGATTGACTCTGATACCAACTATAACGGGTGGGTATTAATCTATTTACTCAAAAACTTAAATTGTTGAATAGTGCTGCATACCCACCCATTTATTCCCCAATCACTCACATGTGACAAAACTCCTCTCGTAACATTAGGCAAGTGCACAACATTTCTATTCCTTTAAAAACAAAAGGTGGAGTCTCAATTGTCAACTTCTCAAATGCATTATAAGAGTTATTTTGTTTCTTTTTATATTCTTATCAACTCTAAACGTTTGGTGTGCATAAATGGAATAAAATACAACTTGGAAGAGAATTAGAATAAGAATGGAATGAGTATTACCATTCTAATGTTTGGTGTGACACGGTGAATCGTTATGAAATCGAATAATTATTACCATTCTATTGTTCGGTTGACTATCATTAAATCTATAATGAAATGATTTTATTCAAAAATAGCTTTTCATTACTTTTTAAAAAAAATCTATTTAATTAATATTATGTCAATACAATTTTATTCAAAAACGAGTTGAATACTTAACCTGAGAAATTGATGTAAAGGCTAATATATATATATATATATATATATATATATATATATATATATATAATATGGTCGAAGGTCCTGCAACTTTTTGTCAATGGGAGCTCTAGGTATATTCAGAAAAGAGTAGGTATATTCAGAAAAGAGGGAAGGCGAAAGACCTTTACCACGTCTAATAAAGAAGCTCGAAAAACATGAAAAATGGAATGTGAAAGATTTTTGGTCTATACGAAATATTTTTGCCTTACTGGAATGTGATGAAGGGCTTATTGAGAATATTATAAAAATATTTAATCTTTCGATTTAGGAATGGAATGAATTTTCATTCCCTGAAATAGATTTTCATTCCATTAACAACAGTCATTCAATTCCATTCTTGCACACCAAACAAATGAATGATTAGAACGAGTATTTCATTCTATTTCATTCTTGCACATTAAACATGGGAAATGGAGGATATTGAAGAAATAAGACCATCCAAGCTCCACGTAAACTCCCTTATATTAGTCGCATTATTTAGTGGGCCTAAACTTTTAAGTTTTGACTTCAATTAGATTGAGCAATGGAGTATGAGACGAACCAGAATACCAGATGGCGAGAGTCTCACCGAATTAATATTTTAAACTTTTCTTTTCTTGAAATGTATTTATATTTGGTAACGGTACACAAATTCCTCTCCGAATTCATTTTTAATATTTTTTTTTTCTGCAATGTATTTATATTTGTGACATAAATTCCTTCCAACGTGATGCGACCTTTCAAGTTTATAATATTAATTTTGAATATATACAATCATGCGCAAATTACTGTGTGTCCTTCTTCTTCTTTTTTCTTTTGTTTATGTTCTTTTTTCTTTAGACCTAGTGAATGTAAATAAAGGTGACTTCTGTTAGGAACAAGTATCTCGCTACTTGGGCCACGGCCTTTCAACACTGGGCCTTAGGGCTCCTATGTAGCAAAACATATATTTTATCTTAAAAAGCAATCTTCTAAATCACAGCTAATCCCATGGCGAAGCAAAGCAATTGTAACAAGAAGAAGAAGAACGCTCCAAACGCCATGTTCGTGAAATCCAAAGCCCCAAAAAGAAACCTTTTCGAAACCATTTGGTTCCGACGAAAATCCTAGTTTCTGGGCAAGAAGCGCAAGGGCGAAGAAAAGCGTATCGGCCCAACTCGCTCTCTCGCGTTCCAAAAGGTGAAAATTCTCCCCTTTTTTGTTTTCCAATTTGATATATATATATATGTGTGTGTGTGTGTATGTATATGGAAGTTGACATGCTTTTATTGACATGAATTACAGAGGAAGAGGACGCTATTGAACGAGAATGAACAAAAGGGGAAATCATATCGGGTAAGTTATACAAAAATTGATTTTTTGTGAAAATTAAGTTCAATTATATTCTATTTAGTTGATGATTAGGTATTGGAAATTAAAATGAACCATAACTCTCTCGAGGTTGAAGAAGAAGAAGATGAGAGTTCAGCTCTCTGAACAATGGAACCAAAATGAGTAAATTGAGTAACAAATAGAAGAAATAAAAAATGGGTTATAAGGCTATGTTGAATTTTGATATTATTGAACTCTCACTGGAGTTTAGGGTTAAGTCCTTCTTCACCGTTGTTTCAGCTCCCGCGTAATTTGTGCATGATTCAATCACTTCTTAAAGTGATTTGAATGGGGCTTTTGCACAATTTTTTTAAAATTAAGGTTATGTTGACCTATTATACTTTTTAATGATGTGTACCATGAATTTTTTTTATAATAAGAGTGTCATTTTCCATCATATGGTCAATGCAAAATATCTTCCATCTTTTAGATTGGAGGAGAGATTGTCTGTGTTTTTGTTGTTATTATAATGCATACGGTTCAAAGTTAATGTTTGTTTCCCATTTAAATAGATGGAAGAGCGAAAATGGGAAGATTTAAACTTGGATTGCTTGTTGAATGTGTTTGAGAGATTGGGACTTGGATCTCTTGTATTGGACGTTCCCTTTGTGTGCAAGTCATGGTACAAAGCAACTCTCAATCCACAATGTTGGCGCCATATTGAGCTTCCTACAGATCGACTAAACGAGCCTGGTGTCCTAGGAATCATTAAGTTTGCCATCAAGCATAATGCTAGATATGTTGTTTCACTAAAGACGCCCCACAACTACAATCCTGCTAGAAAGTCCTGCAATTCTACTAAAGATCTCTTAGTGTATATTGCAAATGAGTAAGTTATCTTAACTACATCAAGATAATTCTTTTTCTCCTTCCATCTTTTAACCATTTTTGACAATTGTTTTGTCTTATTAGATGAAGTGCCAAGTGAAAAATATGTTGAATGAAACATTAAGTACATGTGATTCTGATGTTAGGAAATTTACTTTGTGATAGATCTAAACTTTGACATTTTTTCAATCAAAATGAGCACTCCTTGTCTTTTTGGAATCTGTCATATGTTAGCTTGTGACGTAATATAGCCTTAAAAAAGAATGTCATTCTTACATAGAAAAAGTCGGAATTTTTTTTCACATTGAATTTTTGTTCCCAGGTGTCCTTTCTTGAAAGGTTTCATGATGTCTCCTTGTCTCTCTCCTGATCAAATGTGCATCGTTCCCAGCCTTATAAGCAAATGGACAAATTTGGAATGGTTAACCCTACAATACAGCTCTTATATGCAAGAAATTCTTACACAAGTCAGCCTTCATTGCAAGAACTTTGTTGGGTTAGCTATTACAGAAGCCTACTTTTGTGATAAGGAAGCATCAGATATCGCCACATTACTGCCAAACATTAAGTATTTGTGTCTGAGTTATGCATACCTTCATGAAGACGATCTAGAGATTATTTTGCGAGGCTGCAAAGAACTTCTTTATCTTGATGTTCGGTATTGCGTAGGTTTTGAGGAGGAGGAGGATGAAATATTGAAGCTTGCCTCTCATATTCCTACATTCATGTGTGAGGGTTCAAGAGAAGCCATAGGTGGATGGTGGTCCCGGAAAAGGGAAATTTATCGTCCTATAGATGGATGAAAATTATGCAGGGACTTTTACCGTATTAAACTTTATCCTATAAATGTTTCAGCTCGCAAGTGATTGATCTTGTAATATATTTTGGTAACAAATCTTTTATTTTCTTTAGTTTGTCTTATCTTCTTGCTCGTTGTATATCATCCATTTTTAGACAATCTATTATATAACAATGGTTGTATTGTAGTACATTGAAAAGTTGTTGTCACAAACTCACATAGACTTGAATTTGAATCTAGGATATAGTTTAGTATGGTAAAACTTTATATGTGCGTGTGTATGATGCAATATTAATTATTCAATTGCTTAAAATTTGGTAGGAGTGATCAAAATTGGAGGATTACAAGAGTGGCCTCATCTGCGTCCATATACAGGTTTCGAAACTCAATTGCCTTTTGTATTGCTTTTAATCCGTCTTGATTCTGTGTGTAATTTAATTGATGAACTGTGTGTAAGATCCCTGTTGATATATAGATTGAGAGAGTTTTCGCTTTCGTTGGCGATTGACCCAATTTTTTGTTTTGAATTTTTTCCATGTTTTTTTTTTAGTGGCTGTGTTCTGCATTTAAGTGGTACTTAATATATTAAGTGATATTTAGTGTGTTATCAAACACTTAATTCATTCAGAATTAAATGTTAATTTTGGTTATCAAATTACACCTAAATTCTTATCTTTTTCGATCAATTATATTATTATTGTTGTTGTTAGATGGGAGGTTGGGTGACTTTGTTTATTTTACTTTTTTAACAATTCAAGTTTAATTCATATAATATTTATGGACTGATATTGTGAATTTTCTTTCTTCATCTCAAGGTAACTGCTCTGCTCTGATAATTAAATTCTAGCATTGTTATAAAAAGATGAATATTTAGGGAACTTTAATTACTGTCCTAGGTACTGGATTCATTGTAGCGATATTTTGAATTTCTACTTTTTAATCTGTTTTAAAAAATTACTTTTGAGTTTGTTCCCACTTTATCTATATTCCACGTAATGTACATGATCAAAAAATCACATTCTTGGATGGATTTGTTGTTTGTTACTGAATTTTAATGACCAGTTATGATATAAATCAGCTTGATTCATTATTAAGTTATTATTATATTGTTCAAATTAACTTTGACACAGATCTAATATTTGACATTTTTTCAATTAAGACCCACACTTCTTATCTTTTCAAAGTCCATCATATGTTAGATGGATGATTTTTCAATCAATTGATGTTATAGAACGGGAGAATCTAGTTATGATTTTGCAAGGCTGCAAAGAACTTCGATGTTAAGCATTGTGTCGGTTTCGAAGGTGACGATGAAATATTGAAGTTTACCTCTCTCATATTCGACTATTCCACCATGAGGGTTCAAGAGCATCTGTACGGTGGTACTTTCACTGACTACTAAATTAAGATTAGTTGGTATTGGGAAGTGAGAATTGCTATGTAGTGATATCTACCAAGTTTTAAGTAGTATTTTTGTAATTGTGTCTATATATATACATATATATATATATATCATTTATTTTAAGCTATGGAGTACTTGATTTTTATTTTTTAAATACTTTATGTACTTTTTAATCACGGGCAATGCCTGTGGTAATTTTATTATAATAGAAATGACAAGAAGCAGTGAAATCATTTTACAGCATCTTCACTTTGTAGGCATGAGGATTTGCCAAGAGTTATGCCTCAACAGCCCTGAACATTCCCAATGCCTTCTCTTTGCCACAGTTGATTTGATCCTATGTGATCCTGACATTACCTTTGGTGCGGTATTTACTACTGTTCTTGCATATGGATCCTACAGGGCATATGATTCTTTTCGCAACACCATTTTGTTATGGTGTGCTTGGCGCAGAAGTTTGGGATAGAACCTTACTCAACATGATAAGATCGATGATCAATTATTCAAGTCTACTAGTATTCTTTTGGGAACACGCTCTTAAGATGATTTATATTCTGAACTTAACTCCATCTAAAAGCAGTTCCAAAGACTTCCAAGGAATTGTATACCAGGTGTAAACCTAGTTTACAAAATTTATGTAAGTGAGAATGTCCTGCACTTGTGTGGAAGGGAAAGCTTGAGAAGATGGGACCAAGATTAGATGTTTATTTATTTGTAGGCTACCCAAATGGTACAAGGGATTATTCATTTTATAATCCTAAGGAAAAAAAAGTGTTCATTAGCATCAATGCTACTTTTCTCAAGAAGAATTATATAATGAATTACCATTCTCGAAGCATGGTTGTTTTAGAGAAGATAATAGATACACCAATCAATCCAAGAGTGGATATGACAGTTATGGATGATGAGACATCATAAACTACAAGTCCAGAATCTCTTATTCTATCGGAACCTTAACGTAGTATGAGGGTTATCAGGCCATTTGATAAGTTAATGCTTTTGGAAAAGTCTAACAAAGTGATTCCAGAAGAATAAGATCCTTCTATACTTTTAAAAAGGTTACCAATGATTGTGACTCGGAACATTCGTTTTAATCGTGGTCAAATCATTTAAACCAAAACTAAGGTTTCTCTACTATACCGTGACTGCCGATTACAATGACACTAATTACAATGACAAACTTATGTGTAACCAGTGTAATACCAAAACAATACATAACTCATTAATCAAATCCAGAGACACTACTGGTCAAGAAATAGTCTCCTATTAAACTCAAAAGATAAGTTTTACCATTTGATATATATATATATATATATATATAAACGTGAATCTGGTAATCAATAGATTACCTGTACAGCCGCCGGATAAAATCAATTTTTTTTTAGATATACTACCAAAATTCTAAAATTGGTAATCAATAGATTACCCTTTTTGTCGTGTGACACCCATCACATAGGTGTGCACAGATCAAAATCGGCTGCTACTGTGCATTAGTTGATACCACTGATACAATCATTACTTATATATATATTGCAACGACCCTAGCTGATGCCAAGAATTTTACAAAAAATTCGGCGTAACCTCCCCTAAAAATAAGCCTACCATACCCTGTTTAAATTCATTTTTGACCTATCATGGCTCAATTTCGGAATTCACGGCAACAGTATATGATCATACACAATCAAATAACACCGATAATTACTTTAACTAAAATTATCCTTCCCATTCATCAACAAGGTTTACATGTTAACAAATTCACATCCAAAATATCATCAAATACCTTAATTACATTACATGACAAAGTTTTTGCAAAATATACATATACACCTTCACACTTTTAGTGCTTTGCAAAAATAATGGGAGATATACAAAAGACACAAAAGTGAGCTTCTAGTATCGCTCAAGCTTGAGGTGGGTTGTCGTTCACCGGTTCTTTTCCAAGACCTGAAAAAAATGTATAAATAGTAGGGTGAGCTATATGCTCAGTAGGTGACACTTAAGACACAAATCTTGTGTCCTTGTGAATTCAAGCAAAGCATAGGCCAATAGGAGATAGGGATCATACAACGTAGGGGATCAAATACAACATACAAGTCAATTCCAAGTATAAACAATGCAATGCAATGAAATGAAATGCAATGCATGTCAATGACACTTCCCATTTTCATTCTCAAAATCATCACTTTCAAACGTTAATACAGCCCGCCCTTTGGTAACCCCGCCGCGACACGAAAGGAGGATTGGCTAGTGTCCCTGACCCTTGGTAACCCCGCGGCGTCATTATGGGGCCCAACTAGCTCAACCACGCTAGGGCGACTCCCTAGTCCCCTCTAGGCTATATTAACCTCCGGCCCGTTGGTAACCCCGCAACGACCGGGTTTCGCATAAAACCATTTTATCAAAAACACTTCCCTGAAATTCCCCATATTTATTTCAAGAACAATTTCTCCCATTTCATGCAAACCCAATGGTATGTGCATCTATATATGTTCCATACATTCAATGTCATGGCATTTAAAATTTTCCATCATAAAATTAAACATTCAACATGTTCAACATCTCCCAAGTAATTATTAACACATTAAGATACAACAAAATACATTTAAGCATGTGCATATATATATATATATATGAGCTCAACATCATGAATTGGGAAATTTGGCGCAATTTAAATAAGCATACTCTCATACATCAATTTCAGCATGCTAGCACATAGTAAATATAGTAAATCAACAACTAAATATAAATTGCACATGAACCAACCATATTCAAGATCGTGAAAACCCTCTAGACATCATTAATACCATCATAGATATAATTAACTCTAAATTAAGCATATTTAATACAACATGGAGGTAAAATTCACAATAGAACAAGACTAGAGTGGATTAAGATGCCCCTACCTCAAAATAGGCAAAACCCTATAAATGGGTTTAAATTTTCGAGTTCCAAAGAAGGCTCAAAACTGGAAATTGCTTGCATCAACGCGTAGAGCTCGTCACACTCGTCATTTTGCCTCAAACGGCACCTAAATCCGGTAAGTAATGAAGATGGAATCAAGGATTGAAGTTGAAAAAGAAAAAAGAAAAGAAAAAAAGCAGAAGCAGCGAGAGAGAGAGATATGAGCTGCCGAGAGAGAAAACAAATTGGAATTAAATGGGTCTGCAATGACCCTTATAACTCAAGTGGGCCCCACTGTTGGAAAGTCAAAAACTTTACATTCTCCCCAACTTTAAAAAAGATTTCGTCCCCGAAATCAAGACATACCTGGAGAAGAAAACAACGCTGGGTACTTGGACCGAACCTCCTGTTCGAGCTCCCAAGTAGCCTCCTCGACTCCGTGGTGTCTCCAAAGGACTTTCACCATTGGTATCGTCTTGTTCCTCAACACCTTCTGTTGTGTGTCAAGAATCTGAACTGGTCCTTCCTCGTAGGAAATATCCTCATCAATGTCCACATTTACCTAACTCAAAATGTGAGATGGATCCGGCTCGTACTTCTGTAACATCGATACATGGAAAACATTGTGGACCCTATCCAACTGTGGTGGCAAAGCAAGCCTGTAGGCAACCTCTCCTACTCAGTCCAAAATCTCAAACGGTCCATTAAATCGTGGCGACAACTTGCCACTTTTCCCGAATCTCATCAATCCCTTCCGTGGAGAAACCCGTAGAAAAACATGGTCTCCCACCTCAAAGGATAACGGTCGTCTCCGCTTATCCGCATAGCTCTTCTGTCGGCTCTGAGCTGTAAGTAACCTCTGTCTTATCAACTTAATCTTCTCAGTAGTCTCGAGTACAATGTCGGGTCTTAAGGCGACTGTCTCACCTACCTCAGTCCAACAAACAGGAGACCTACAAGGTCTACCATACAACGCCTCAAATGGAGCCATCTGGATGCTCGCCTGATAACTGTTGTTGTAGGCAAATTCAATAAGTGGAAGGTGATCCTCCCAACTACCTCCCAAATCAAGTACACATGCCCGAAACATATCCTCCAAAATCTGGATAGTATACTCCGACTGACCGTCCGTCTGTGGATGGAATGCCGTACTAAGATGCAACGCTGAACCAAACGTTACTTGAAATCCTTCCCAGAACTTCGAAGTGAACTTAGCATCCCTATCTGACACAATGGTTACAGGAACTCCATGCAACCTTATAATCTCCTTCACATAAAGAACACCAAGCTTCTCTGCATCATCTGTTGCCTTAATAGGCAAAAAGTGAGCCGTCTTGGTCAATCTGTCACTGATGACCTATACGGCCTCATTGCCCCTCCGTGACCTTGGAAAACCTGTCACAAAATCCATAGTAATATGCTCCCATTTGCATTGCGCTACAGGTAATGGTTGCAATAAACCAGCTGGCCTCTGATGCTCGGCCTTCACCTGCTGACAGGTAAGGCATCTAGCCACAAACTGTGCAACATCATTCTTCATCCCGCTTCACTAATACTGACGTCTCAAATTGTGATACATTTTAGTACCACCTGGATGAACTGCAAAGCGGGAAGTGTGAAACTCCCGTAGGACGTCCTCACGACAACATGTGGGAACCACCAACAAACCCCTGAACCGTAGACCCCCATCTGCATGCAAGGCCCAATCTTTCACTGTTTCACCACTAGAGATCAAAGCGTGGATGGCATCTAAGTCCGGGTCCTGTCTTTGTGACTCAATCACTCGTACAACAAGAGTAGGCTGAGCCACAAGACCAAATAAGAATGCCGACTCACTGCAACCATCATCATCACAACACTGTAATCCTATCTTTGCCAAATCTTCAAGCATCTTCCACTTCCGAATAGCTAAACTGGCCAAAGTTCCACAAGATTTTCGGCTTAAGGCATCAGCTACAACATTTGCCTTGCCCGGATGATACTGCAAATCAAAGTTGTAATCTTCCAAGTACTCAACCCATCGTCTCTGTCTGTTGTTCAAGTCCTTTTGGGAGAAAAGGTACTTGACACTTTTGTGATCTGAAAATACCTCGAATCTCTCACCATACAAGTAGTGTCTCCAACACTTCAAGGCAAACACAACTGCCGCTAACTCCAGATCATGAGTAGGGTAGTTAAGCTCGTGAGTCTTCAACTGTCGAGACCCATAAGCCACTACTCTACCATCCTGCATCAACACACATCCCAACCCATCACGTGAAGCATCACAATAGATCACATAACCCAAGCCACGCTCAGGTATCACCAACACTGGAGCTGTAGTCAATCTCGTCTTCAACTCCTGAAAAGATGAATCACAGGCCTCATTCCAGACAAACTTAACCCCTTTCCGGGTCAAACATGTCATAGGAGCTGCCAAACGGGAGAAATCCTTCACAAATCTCCGATAGTAACCTGCTAAACCAAGAAAACTGCGGATCTCAAACACATTCTTGGGTCGCTCCCAAGTCAAAACTGCTTCAACCTTTGATGGATCAATTGACCTTCTGAAACAACATGCCCCAAAAACTTCACCTCCTGTAGCCAAAACTCACATTTCTCGTATTTGGCATACAATCGGTGCTCCCGCAAAATTTGTAAAACAATACTCAAATGGACTTCGTGATCTTCCCGAGTCCGTGAGTACACAAGAATGTCATCCACGAAAACTACCACAAACTGGTCCAAGTAATCGTGAAAGACGCGGTTCATCAAGTCCATGAATGCCGCTGGCGTATTAGTCAAGCCAAAAGGCATAACAAGGAACTCATAGTGTCCATACCGTGTACGGAATGTTGTCTTCGGGATATCCTCATCCCTAACCCGCAACTGATAATAGCCAGACCTCAAGTCAATCTTCGAGAAACAACTGGCTCCCCTCAACTGATCAAATAAATCATCTATCCTTGGCAAAAGATACTTGTTCTTGATGGTGGCATGATTCAACTTCCGATAATCAATGCACAACCTCAACGAACCATCTTTCTTCTTAGCAAATAAGACCGGTGCGCCCCACGGTGACACACTCGGTCGGATGAAACCTTTCATCCTCAAATCACCAAGCTGCCTCTTCAATTTTTCCAATTCAACTAGTGTCATACGATACGGTGCCATAGAAATCGGCGCAGTACCATGCATCAAATCAATAGTGAACTCCACTTCTCGGTGTGGAGGCAACTCTGTCAAATCCTCTGGAAACACGTCCAGAAAATCACGAACAACCGCAAGATAATCCTCTTTCCCAACATCATCTTCTTCGGCTATAAGGCTAACCAAGAATTAATCACCACGACTCCGTCCACGAACTCCATAAAATGATGAAATGTGGGAATCACTCCGATCTCCCGCGAAAAAGAAACAGTCTCCCTCGGGAGTGCAAACCATAACTCTCCCTCTGAAACAGTCAATCGTAGAGTGGAAGAAAGCTAACCAATCCATCCCAAGAATGACATCAAAGCTAGTCATCTCTAGGAGGATAAGGTCAAACACAAAGGTCCGCTCGGCTATCACAATGGAGCAATCCCGCACAACTCGGCTCAATGACACTGAAATCCCAACTGGCGTATCAACACATAATGCCCGATCCCTGAAACTAACCTCTAACCCCGATGCAAGTGCAAATGATGATGAAATGAAAGAATGAGATGCACCAGAGTCAAACAAAACACGGGCCCAACAACCAAACACTGGAAATATACCTCGAAGAACTGACGGTCCAGAAGATGCATCGGTCTGTGCCAGTGCAAAAACACGTCCCTGTGGTACCTGTGCCTGAGGACTGCCAACCTGAACACCTGATTGTTGCACTGACATAGTAGGAGTATCCCTCCTAACTGATCGTGAACCCTGTGAAGACATAGCAGGCTGTGGTGGTGGTGGTCTGAAACCTGACTGAACTGTAGCCGATTGTGACGGCCTCTGCTGTGACCCTCTGCCACTAATGGTGCCTGCTCTCTAACTCAGACAATCACGAATCAAGTGACCCTGCTGGCCACACCCATAACAAGCCTTCGGAGCTGACGAAACTGAAGACGATCTCATCGGACAACTGGACTTGTAATGTCCGGGCTGCTGACACTGATAACAAACAACTGCACTCTTGTCAGACCCAGCTGGCATAGGAGTGGTAGGAGCAGATCTTGTAGACTGTTGCCCCTGAAACTGAGATGGACTGCCCCTGTTCCTTTTCCAAGAAGATCCCTCTGAGGATGGCCCTGCACCCCTCTTTTGCTTCAATTGCTCTCTTCTTGGATCCTTCTCTCTATTGTCAGCCTCCAGCATCAAAGCCCTTTCCACTGCTTCAGAGTAAACCTTAATAAACTGTGCCGTGATCAACGGCCTCATTCGATCATTAAGACCCGAGACACACTTCCGAGTCTTGTTAGCTTCATCTCTCACCACTTCTGGAGCAAAACGGGAGAGTGAGGTGAACTTGTTCTCATACTCCGCCACTGACATGTTCCTTTGAATAAGATTATGAAACTGGTCTTGTAACTCCCATCTTTTGGAAAGCGGAAAGTACTTTTCATAGAACAGTTCCTTGAACCTGTCCCAACTCATCTCTTCAATCTTGTACTGGTTAGTGATCGACTTCCACCAAACCTTGGCATCCATAGCAAACTTATACGTAGCTAGGATGATCTTTAGATGATCCTCTGTCACATCCATTGAAGTTAGTTGGGTTTCAACTTGATCCAAGTAGTCATCTGCTACCATTGGATCCGCACTGCCCTCAAACATAACCGGCATCAGCTGAGAAAACCCCTTAATGATCTTGAGACGCTTCTGAGCTGGAGTCTCCTCAACTCGAACTGTAGGTTGTGGTACCAACTGCGGCTGAGCAACAATAGTTGCTCTCACGGCATTTTGCAACAATCGATTCAACTCTAGTGCCACAGAACCTTCACCCACTTCTACGGGTACGGGTGTTTCAACATTCTCTCTTCTTGGGGGAATCAAGTCCCTAAGAAGCATGTTCTCATCAACTGGCTCCGCCGGATTGGAGCTAGAGCTCTCACCAACATCGCCCCTTGTTGGCCTAGGGCCAACTACTCTAGGTTCCTCAAGCCGTGACATCGTGCTATAAAACGAGAAAACGATTCAGAAACATGACACTAAGGTCCACTGTGGACGACTCAACAAGAATTAATACCGTACAACACTTAGCATGCAAGACTATGCAAGAAACCTTTTAACATAAACAAGTAAGCAAGTAAGCACATAGGCAGTTAAGCATGCTCATTTAAATAAGATACCACGTAGCAAGTAGTCAAGTAAGCAACACAAACAACATTCCATGCGACTCTATGTAGGCCTCTACCCGTCGTCCTAAAGGTTTTCGAACCTTGGCTCTGATACCAAATTTGCAACGACCCTAGCTGATGCCAAGAATTTTACAAAAAATTCGGCATAACCTCCCCTAAAAATAGGCCTACCATACCCTGTTTAAATTCATTTTTGACCTATCATGGCTCAATTTTCGAATTCACGG